GTCTCATCATGGGGAATAACTACCACCAGCTGCCCAGCCACTCAACCAGGCCCAGCCAAGTTGACACACAAACATAACTACCACAGGAGGTTGGGCAATCTACTTCTGTAGTGATACTACCTCGGAAACCCAAGGAGGGGTCATTATGAGTTGGATCCGCACATCTATATATCTAAATAATAAACTAGTTTAAACCCAGGAAACACTAAGAAAATTACCTAGTAAAAATATATTTAATGATACAAAAATTTCATAATAAATGAAACATATGTATTGAGTTTTTAGTTAAATGTTAAGTGAAACAAATATATTACAAATTAGTATGTATGATGTCATACAATTTTTTGTAAAACAAAAAACTCACATGTGCATTGGAAAAGATTCAAAAAATATAAATCTAAATGCTAACAGTGGTTGTCTCTGGATGGTGGTACTCTGTGATTTTTCAAATCTATTTTTTATTGTGATAGCTATTTTCTACAATAAATATGTATTGCTTATTTTCTCTTTGCACAAAATGCTTTTGGAAAAATAAAGGTCAAACAAGAAACCCTAAAATAATGTGATTTAAAAGACAGGGAAAAAAAATCTATTATTTCCTAATTTTCTACTTCCCCAAAAAATATGTCTTATGCCTTTGCATAGACCAATCACTTACATAGGGGAGGGAATGGGCAGAACTATAACCACCATAACCTGGTTGTGGAAGCAGAAAACGTCACTATAGAACAGAAAGAGTTCAATTAAATTTTTCAGCAAATTTTTAAAATAAATATTGCAATTACACCAGAAATTTCCTTAGTAGTTACTAGAGATTAAATATCTCTAATATCAAAGTTCACATTGTCTATCCTTTTGGGGTCGGTCTTGGGGTGGGGAGGAAGATCAAGGTGGAGTAGGGCAGGATGGAGAACCGGTTTATCCACACCCGGGAAGGTAGGGCTCCTAGGCTATCCCAGAGTATAAGGTTATCTAGCAGGTGAGCAAGTGAGAGCCTGGCATCTGAAATAACAGGAAAGAGACCCAGAAGAGCTTAGAGGTATAAATCATCTGCAGCTTAAATGGTGGGTACAGAGAACAGAATTTACTTGCCTGAAATGGTTTTGTTTGTGCAACTCTACAAATGTGCAATGGATCATATTTGAAATAGTCCTGTGACCTTATTTGCATGTTTATTCTTATTAAGGTTGGTCTGGTTGATAATCAGCTCATTAAACAGGTATTTCTTGAAGAGAAGAAAATGGATATTTATTGAATGGCTACTATATTCCAGGCTCTGGGGCTGTGGTTAAAGCACTGGGCTGCTAATCAAAAGGTTGTCATTTCAAACCCACCAGCCACTCTGCAGCGGAAAGATGAGGCAGTCTGTTCCATGAAGATTTACAACTTTTGAAACCCTATAGGGCAGTTATACTCTGCCATATAGGGTCACCATGAGTTGGAATCAACTTGATGGCAGTGAGTTTTTTAGTGGGTGGGTGTTTGGTGAAGGGAGCCCTGGTGGTACAGTAGTTAAGTGCCCAGCTGCTAACCAAAAGGTTAGCCCTTAGAATCCACTAGTGGCTCTGTGGGAGAAAGATGGGGCAGTCCACTCCTGTAAAGATTAAAGCCTTGGAAACCCTGTGGGGCCATTCTACTCTGTCTTATGAGTTGAAATTGACTTGACAGAAATGGTGTTGGTGTTGAATGACTGAAGTGTGTGATCTCATTTAATCTTCTTAATGAAATGATGGAATTCTTGAGATTGTCACTGTTGTTAGAAATTGGCAGTGGTTTAGGAGAGAGAAGGTGAGTGCCTGAACTAGGCAGTCACCAAAGGGATGGAGAGGTCGACAGTGGTGATTGTTTGGATGTGGGACACAAAAGCAAACTAACAAGCTAGACTTTCCCCCAGGTTCTGCGTTGGGAAGAAGTGTGAATGACAAAATCACACACAGAAGAAATAAATCATGAAGGGGAACCGGTTTGAGGAGGTTGAGTTCAGTTTTAGCCACATTGAGATGGAGGTGCCTGTGAACATACAAGTGGGGATGTCTGATGAGAAGTTTCCAAATATGAATGTGGAGCTCGGGACTGAGGAGGTAGGGATTTGGGAGTCATCGGGGTATGGCCAGCTTGTGTGTTAATGAGGACCTTGGGAAGACGGTGCAAGACAGGTGTTTACATCGTCCTGTCTTAAACTTGGACTTCATTTGCATCTTTTCCTCATTCCCTCCCCACTTTTCTCCAAGGGTCCTTATGGGGCCTTGAATTCTTAAGAATGGCAATGAAAACTCAAAGCCCATGTTCCAGAAAAACAAATACACAAAATGTTTGGGTGGTTTCAGAAGTTTCCATTTTCAGATCTCATCTGAGAGACCCCAAGTCACAAAACCCTATAGAGTAAGGGGAGCACCTGAAGCCCAAGGGAGTGCTAATACTTTAAGAGGGGGAGAAGGGGAGCCACAAGGCAACTTAGAAGGTGTGGCCAGAAAAAGGAAGTGTGCCAGGAAAGAGTGGGGGAGAATGTGGTAACTGTAACCACCAGTTACCATGGAGTCAACTCCTGCTCCCACCCCTTGTGTGTCAAAGTAGAATTGTTCCACAGAGTTTTCAATGGCTAATTTTGTGGCGATTCACCCACCAGGCCTTTCTTCTGAGGCACCTCTGGGTGCACTCGAACTTCCAACCTTTGGGTTGGCTGATGAGAGCATTAGCATTTATAACATCCAGGGACTCCTACAAGGGGGGTCAATTTCAGTATCAGATAAGGATTACATCGAGTTTACTAGATTTGCAACATGGAAGAGGCATCGTGGACGTTAGTGATCAGGGCACAAGGGTCTGAGAAGTGAGAAAGTGGTTTAAGCACTTAACTGAGAAAGTGGATAAAGCAGGTGTAGACATCGACAAATTCCACTAAATGTATCATCATTTCACCATCACACCATGACTGTTTCTACCCATTATAAATAATCAATCCAAGAATCCATGTTTATTTAGACAGTTCAAGTCCCTTTAGTAGTAAAAGTCAGGTTTAAGGCAAGAATACTTGGGAGAAGGGCTGAGGAATGCTACATGAGGAAATCTGAGAGGAAGGAAAAGAAAAACAAAAGGTGCAGAGATATCCAAGTTACAAAGAGGATTATGACTTCATCTGTGAGGATCCATGAAGGATATTTTCCCTTTAGAGACTAGAAACTGAGTTGTTTTTCCTATTTTAAGTGTGAAATTAGAAATTAATAAACTTGCAGGGGGAGGAAATTCATCTCATTTAGAGGGAATATACAAATAAGCTATAATTTCCTCTCAGCAAAAATGGCAGTTGAGAAATGCATTTGGTTTATTAACCAATTAAAGAAGAAAGAAACTATTACTCAATTGTAAAAATATGCAAGCACTTAAATAGTCCACACCAGCAGCGTGGCTAAACTATAGCACACAGCATACACAGGCAGCAAGTGTTCTAATTGAAAGGAAGGGCTGCACTGGGAACAATTAAAAAAAAAAAAAAAGCTTGCATTGTATTAAAGCGTGTGTTACTACTTGGGACTCATGCTTCCTGTAAATAATCAATTCTTCCTAAAACCACAAGGAAAAGCCCTTTTTCTATGGGTGTCATGTGACTGATCTAAAGCAAATATCTTGGGACTCATGTTCCAGGTCTTTCTTCCACATATGACTGGCAGTGGGCTGATGATTGCTTTAACTAAGAAAATACTTCCCTCCATACACCAGGCCTACTTCAAAGGAGAATCGGACCTTAGCATAACTTCTTTAAGCAAGACTGCAAGATTTCAATGCTGTTCTAAAATTCTATGATTAATTGATAATTACCAGGATTAAAAACAATAATTGCTAACCCTTTGATAGCTTTTACTGTATGTTGTGCACTATTTTAAACACTTTCCATATAAACGCATTCAATCTTTATCACACAGGAGAAGAGAGAATGGCTGATTCCTTGCTGAGGGTCACACAGCTACTTAAGTGGCAGAACTGGAAATCGAACCCAGGCAGTCCACTCTTAACTGTAACCATCTTCTTCTAATCTATATACTCATAGTACAGAATGTATCCAGTCAGTAGCAGAGCCATGTTCCTACCAGCTAGAATTGACAACATTGAATCCAATTTGCTTCACACATTTCTTTTTAAAGAATCATAAATTATACACACAGAGAACTCTCTTTTCAACTACCCCTTCTCCACCCACACAAACTTCCTTCTTTTGCTCTGAAGGGGTAGTCACTATCACAGATTTAATTCATATTCTTCTAGCCTGATTGATAGCATGTTTTGCTTTTAACTGTGTGTATATGTGCTACCCAGGAGTCCCTGAGTGGTGCAAATGGTTAAGTGCTCAATTGTTAACTTAACTCACCCAGAGGCATCTGGGAAGAAAGTCATGGCAATCTACTTCCAAAAAATCAACCACTGAAAACCCTGAGCATAGTTCTACTCTGACCCACACGAGGTTGCCATGAGTCAGAACTGACTTGATGACAACTATCTAGCTGTTGTTATTGTTTGTTTTTTGGTGTATGTACTATCACTAAAGAGTCATGCCATGGGGAATTAAAGATGTTTCCCTTTATTGTTTACTCATTGCCACATGCCTTCTCCTTAAGGGACACTAGAAACTTCCCCTCTCACACTCCTACACACACGCACACATACACACACACAAATACTGCCCTTGCTTATTTTGTTTGAAATACCATTCCTTGAGATAAAGCTTAAAGTCCTTGAGGCCCTTTATACACACAGAGGTGCAAGAATATTTAGGGATCCCTTCTGAAAACAGATTTCACCACTGAGGCAGGACTGCATGGAAGATACCCAGGTGGGAGAGGGAAGCAGCAAGGGGTGCTTCTACAGCTGTTGAAGGTATGACCTCCCCATCTCTGTCCCCAGAGCTGCTCCATCCACAGCTTCCCCCAACTCAAGTGCTAGTAGCCCTCCCAGGTGCTCAGGTCCAAGATCACAGTGTGATCTCCAGCTCTTTCTATCACATTCTACATCCCATGACTCGGGGCAGGGATCATTGTGCTGTGGATGAGGGCTTCCAGGTGCTTAGAATAGGGCCTTGCTCATAATAAGCTCTCAATATTTGTTTGGGAATTGGAGATCCCAAATAGAGGTAGGGGAGTGGGTCCAGAGAAGTTCACATTTTTATGACGGATCACCCCGTTGTCAGATTATCAGGCTTCAGCAGGTCTTAGCTGCATGACATTGTATAATGTCTTAGCCTTGAGAGCTACCTACCAATGCAAATATTGGGCCTAGACGGTAGGTGCTCTATCATTGCTCACTGAATGACTCTGAGAGCTCTAAAAACCCTCTTTACCAAGAAGTACAGCTTGAGATATACCCCATTTCCTGCCAAAGCTGTGTTAAGCATATTTTCTTCTCCCTGACCCCTTTCTACCTCCCTCTGAGGGACTTGAGGTTCTCAAACTTGATGAGCTGCTTTGTGATCAGCAAGTACCCAGTTAGAAAAAATAAAGAGAGACAGATTTGGGAGTTGCCACTCACTTCCTGTGACTAATGCAAGCAGAGGGAAAATTATGGGGAAAAACCCAGATTACTGTGTGGGATTCCACATACTTACACCAGGACTGTCATCCAAGCTATTAAACAGCTATGAATTTCCCTGACTCAAAATTTCCTGGTTGGAGACAAATGAATACATCTGTTTTACAAGCTATGAACCTGTGAAAAGGTATGGTGGCATCCTCTGACCTCCTCTAACTTCGCAAGAGTACGAAAGACTCAAGATGAATATCAACAGCCCAAGACTGGTTCCTATTAGTTTGAGGTCAGACATACTAGCACCTTCCAAGTGGCTATGGCATTTAACTGCTAATCAGAAGGTTGGCAGTTCAAACCCACCAGGTGCTCTGCAGAAGGAAGACTAGGCAATCTACCTCCGTAAAAATTAAGCACCTCGGAAACTCAAAGGGAGTCACTATGAGTCAGAATCGACTTTATGGCCGTGGGTTTTGAGTTTGTTTGACACCAACTGTCCCTCTCATGGAACTCTACTTCCCTACTGGTTTTGATAATTTGTTGCAATGGCCACACAGAACTCACACACAATGCTCACAATTAAGGGATTTATTAGTTAAGTAACAGGATAAAATTCAGGTTCAGAAACAACTCAGGATACAGTTCTTCATTCAAGCCAGTTTCTTCTGAGCCATGCCACAGGCACACTTCTCTCTGGCCTTGGCCTCTGCCCTGGTTGGCCCTGAGTTACTAAGCTCTTTTAGCTTTGCCAGTAGGCACCCAAAGAGGCATTCCACTCCACTAGAAAACCTCCTGCCCAAAGGCACTCAGCTTTCTTGCTCATGGGCCGTGAAGACCACTGTTCTCTTTCACTTTAGCATCTTGGTTCTGCTACATCTGTTGCTGCCATCTCTCTGCTGTCTCAGCAAAGTTTTACAGCTCTCTCTCCTGGGTCAAGGAGGGTTCACAGGTCCAAGGACACAGTCCACTCCCACTTTTCTCTCTTGATGACAGTGACTTTTCTTCCTCTAGGATCACACCTTTAAGCCTAGTGAGATGGCAAAACTGACTAATCCCCACATTAGGGTTCCGTACACTTTATTTCCCCACAAGGGTGCCATGAACCTTATTTACATTATTAATAAGCTATCCAATCCCCTTGGTAGCCCGCAAGCACCTTACATTTGCATAGTTCCACCCAGTCATCTAGTGAGAGTCACAAAAACCATGGCTAGAAGAGCCTCATGAAGTAATTCACTGCACCAGGACCTAAGCCTGTATTTTACTTCTTGCTATCAGGGCCATGGAATCAAGTTAAGAGCAACAACTACAAATCAATATCTAAGCTTATAATGAAGTAAAGAGTTTTGAACAACCACTATTTATCAAGCACCTACCATGTGCCAGGCACTGTTTTCAGGGCTGGAGTGCATCAATGAATAAAACAAAGATGTCTATCTTTGCAGAACTTATAAGCTAACAGGGAAGACCAGCACTAAATGTAGATAGATATGTACATTGTAGTATTTTATAAGGTGATAAGTACTATGAAATTTTTATTGTGGAATGAGAATTATTATCATAAAAAATA